TTGTGCAAGAATCATTTCTTAAATTTTGTTTACTTAATTTTATTTTTTATTAATTATTTTCATTTTCTGATATTCAAACAAGTACGAAATTTATTGTGAGAGAGATTTACCAAAAAAAACCCTAACGAAAGGTTCAGGGCCTAGCACAACAAAAACAGGTTGCCCAATTATAAGCCCAAAGGCCAACCCATAATGTAACTTGGGGACCCAAGACAAGCCTATAGTCTTTTTTTTTTTTCTTTTTTTCTTTTTTTTGGATAGAACTAAAATTTAAGTAATGGAAATTTTAAGTCTAACATTTAGTCACAAGTGTTGATTTGATCTCATTTTATTAAATACACTTAATTAAATAAGCTCTTAAATACTTTTAAATTAAGTGTTAAATTAAAGGGTAAATTGCCCTGAAACTGTTGGTACCAAAACTTGATAGCCATTTCAGCGATGACGTGGACCAATAAGGAGCAACGACTCGTGTAATTATATTGAATATATTAATTGGTTGCCAAGCTTACAAGGAAGTTACTAATGGTTGACTATTTCAAATTGGGCTACTAAGGGAAAGGAAGAAGGGCTAGAGTTTGGTTGAAAGGCAACAACTAAATTCCTATTTTATAGGAAGTTTAGTTGTAATATAAAAGGGAAGCTCCAACCTAACATGCGGAAATTCAAATATGATACAAGTTTGGACTTAGTTTGAATCTGAAGAGAGAGAAAATCAAAGAAGAATAAGAGATTTTCTAACAAAAAAAATTAGAGGAATAAGTTAATTAAGACTTCTATAAATAGAAGTATGGTAAATCATTCCAATTTGTCCAGCACCAACCACAAAACAGGATGAATCAAAAATTCATCAAATGACTCAACGTCATCTTATCTTCAATTATTTTGTCCAAATAGCAAATTTCATTCGAAGAATATGAGTTCCAATAACTTATCATTCTTTTTGAAATGCTTAATTATGTTATTTACAATTTATTCTCTGTTTTATGCAAACGGATTCAAATGACAATTCTTTTATCAGATTCATGTCACTTTAATTCGGCCTGTTCATTCCATTGCACCTTTACTTTTCAGTCTATTTTAATTCGGCCAATTTACTTTTCAGTCCATTTCAATTCAGCCAGTACATTTACTTTAAATTGCATTTTTATTTCTTTTAACACTTTTATAAAAAAAAGTCCTTGTAAACAAGGCATAAAAAGAACCTCGCTGGGAGTTCTTACTATTCTTTCTCCCACACATTCGCTCGAAGTCAACCACGGAAAAGGAATAGGCTGGTGTTCAATTCATAATTTTGAGTATTTTATACAAATACTCTGACACGCCCGCAAAAGTCCATTGACCGGCGTAAGATCAAAAACCGCGCGAACAGAAACCCTATGAGGTTTCAATCAATATCACTCAGATGTGGATCAACGAATTTTTTAACAATGACACCCCTGTGGTTTCAAATATTATATTTGCCCCTGATTATTTAATTCAATTAATTTATAAAATATCAGTCCGGCTAATTGAGAAAAATACCCCATCATTAAGCCTCTTTCTCTACCCTAACTTTTAACTCCTTCTTTTTTCTTTTTTTTTTTTTGTTCATTTTAATACCTAGCCGCCGACACTCCCTCTCTCTCTTCTCAATCACTGCTTTTTTTTTCCCCTTGTTGTGGTGTGTTTAAGCTAGCTATGGCTGTTTTTTTTTTTTTTTTTTTTCCTACTCTAGTGGTGGTTGTTGTGGTGTGGTTTAGGTGTGGTTGTGGTGGTGTCTAGGTTATCAAGGTGTTTCAAGATTTTTATTTTTTCTATTGTGGTGGTGGTGGTGGTTCTGGTAGAGTCTGGGTGTGTTGGTGGTGTTGTCTTAGTGTAGTGGTGTCTAAGTTATCAGGGTGTTTTAAGATTTTTATTTTTTTCTATTGTGGTGGTGGTGGTGGTTCTAGTAAAGTCTGGGTGTGTTGGTGGTATTGTCTTAGTGTGGTAGTGGTTCTTATGTCATTTGGCACATATAAGTATGGGTTGTCATAGTTGTTTTCAATTTTTTTTATTTTTATATACTGTGGTGTTTGGGTGTGGTGGTGGTGGTTATGGCACTATACATTAATCTAGCTATTTTTAAATATATATTTTTTTTTATTTTATTTTTATTTTTATGGCGTAGTGGTGGTTATGGTGGCTATTTCAAAATATATATATTCTTTTCTTTTCTTTTCTTTTTATATATTGCGGTGGTGGTTATAGTGGTGTACAGTTATTGACAATTTTTTAAAAAAATTAATTTAATTTTTTTTATTTTTTATTTTTTATTTTTATGTTGTGGTGATGGTAATAAGTTATCTAGCTATTTAAAAGAAATAAATTAAATTTTCTTTGTATTTTTATGTTCTGATAGTGGTTATGGTGCTACAAGTATTATTATATATAAACCATATATATATATATATATAAAGAGATGAAGAGGTTAGTTTGGTCCATTAAATTTAGTTAGGAGGTTAAATTTGTAATTTCATTATTTAAATGGAGTTGTTGACAAGTCAAGGAGTTAAAAGGTAATTTCATATGGTTTCAGAGGTTTGGAGGGGTGTCAATGCACATTTTTTAAATTTCAAGAGGTGTCAATGTAAAAAAGTCATTAATCATCAGTTGAGTGGCATTGACCAAAACTTCAGATAGTGTTAGTACAATTTACCCTAAATTAAATTATCAAAATGCTTACGACAAATATGGAGATGGATTTTTGCTATAAAAAACAAAAAAAAAAAAAAAAAAAAAAAAAAAAAAAAAAATTGAATTTTGCTTTATGCAATTAATTTCAGTGGGACATGCATGTTTTATTACTCCTCTGTCCTAAATTAAATGTCTTATTTGAAAAGTCTTAAGTACTATTTTATTTTTTATTTTTTTGTAATATTATCAATTTATCCTTTTTAAATTGCTTATAAAAAATAAGCTACTATCGTCTGTGGATCCACTATGAACATATTTAATAATTCATTTTGTAATAAAAAAAAATATTAAAACTTATTCTTTTAAAAAATTAAATTTAGAATCTAATTGGGAATAAAGGGAATACTTTATTTATATTTTGACTAAGGAGGGAAAAGAATCAAATCCACAATCCCTGTTCATTGCTTAAGATGACATATCAATATTTCACCGTGTCTTTCATTTTCTATTACTTTATAAATATAATATTATTACATATACCCATTAATTCTAGTATATGAAGTACAGAATAGGAGAGTAACGTATTTGTATCGAATACATGTCAGATACTAATATTTTAAGGATACTCGTAAATACGTGTTCCATACTTTTTAAATGTATCTATCATTTTAAAATATATATTTTAATTTATAACATATATCCGATACATTTCAGATATTTCTTAGATATTTTGACTGCATATCCGACACTTTTTAGATAATTCATAACACATTTCAAATAAGTTTTTACATTAAAATGCAACTTTTTCAACAATAATAATATAAAATAATTATTATGAAAATTTTAAATTTTATTAAGTGATAATTAGAAATGTTTGTTTTATGTGTTGTTCTGTGTCTGCTTCTTAAATCCTAATTAAATTGAAGAGTAAATTACACAAACCTCTAGAAGAATGGAGGCTGATACTCAGAATATCAAATCAATAAGAATGAGAATGATCCTTGTCTTTCTTTGTTGGTTTTAGGTCAGACAATATATACAATATTCCTTTCTCTCTTGAAGATTTGGCCCATCTATCCCATGAAAAACCACTCAACTGTGAGAATATATATATTAAACACGAACTTTTACCAAACAAAGTACTAATACACCTTTACAAACCTCACGAATATTAGTATATAATTAAATAATATTTAATCCGTTCCTTTTCTTTCTTTTATTACAAGATATGCGTACATGCAGTCAATTAACAATGAATGTGAAAGTGATTTGAAGCTATTAATACTCTTTTTTTTGAAACACACATTTATGCTAATACTTTAATTTGATTCTTATTCTACAAGAAAACGTACATGAAATGATTCCACCACGTTTTTCTTTTCTTTTCTTTTCTGGCAAACAAAGTGAAACGCACTATAAATTGGAGAAGCCTTCAAGGGACTTCTTCACTGCAGCCTTCAGGGACGACTCCTAATTTAGAATGGAGATTAAAACTGTTTCTTGAAGAGATTCGACACTGACAGAGATGGTTGTATAAGCAAGGATGAACTTCGATAGGCCATTCGTGTCACCGGTGGTTGGTTTTCCCGGTGGAAGAGTAAGCGTGGAGTGCAGTTGGCGGACGCCAATGGCAACGGTTTCATTGATGAAAATGAGATCAAGAAGCTTGTGGAGTTTGCTCAAAATCGAATGGGTGTGAGAATTGTAGCATACCAGTAACTTAAATATATGCATAATTGCAATAAGATGTGCACGCAACTCATTGTAATATTTAATTAGTGAGTGACACTATGTCACTCGTACTCTTGGGGCGATAATTCTGCTGTGTGTTTTTGCTTGGTGTAAAGTAATGTTCTTTTGTTTCTGGCCCTTTCCTTTATTTATTTATTTATTATTTATTCTAATTCTTACCTTTTACCAAACAAATTAATAAATAAATCAAAACCAAATAAATTAATAAATAAATCAAAACATGAATATTGCTCTACAACAATTAAATTTCATCAAGACATACATTTTTATTTATTTGTTTCACTGACAGAATTCTCTGAAAAACAGATAACAGATTTTAAACAATCATAAGAGACTACTATATAAAACATAACTTTTTAACTCAAATTTAAAAAAATAATTCTCAGAAAACTATTACTCATTTGAATTTTTATACTTTTTTTGCTGACATCATCATAAAATTGCTTCATAATGCTCAAAATCCTCCCCTCATTCCTTCTAATTTAATTTAACACTTTCCTCCCAAAAATGAGGGTAGATTAGTTATTTCATTCCTTTCGTTAACCCCGGGGGTCTGAATGAAGATATACAAACATGGGGGAGTTTAACTAAAGTATAGACAAAACTAATAAATAAAAAAACACTTTTAGAGCATATACATGCTGCAAGGGTAAAAAGCATCTACATCTATCTAACCATGGATGAATTTTGGTCTATAACTGAGAAATTATAGCTTAGTGTATGCTCTGAGACATACATTTCCCACTGTAAATCTTCCAATGAATGCTTAAACGAGAAACATTGCAGCGTTCATGGTATACAAACTACATAAATTTACAAATGAAACTGGCCTTGAAGCAGGTTCAACTGAAATGGATCCATCTCCAACCTTGAAAATATACATTTGAATAGGTTCCACTGAGAATTGACAAGCGGCTCGTCAGCACTAATAAGCAGGACATTGGCAGGACAGGGCTCTGTCTCTTCAGTGTCTATTGCCAATATATATCATCATCACTATACAATTCCAAAATCCTCAAGAGATTACATTCCATTGCAATTAAAAACCATGCGCCAGGTCAAATAATCATAAAGAGGTAATTCTGCATTCACCTAGACCAAACATAACCCTGCAAGATATGTGGCGAAATTCGATTATTGAGAAAAAGGAACACATAACCAAACTGTAAAATTATAATCAGACGGCGGAATGTGCATGATCAAAGAATAAAGTTCTCTTAAGCTTTCATTGGCTTTATGGTGTTTAGGATCGAAATGATTTTCTGAAGCTTCCATAATACATACTTTACGAACATACAATCCCTATTGAGTTAAAAAATGTGATTGATCATTTTGATTGCGAATAGCCTGTTCTATATATTCCATGTTAAAATGGAATTTACAAGTATTGTATAATTTTTTTCTGAAATCTTAATAATATTTTTTTAGGGATAATTTCACTGACACCCCCAGTAGTTTTGCCAAATATCAGTCTAAAACATCTTTCGAAAATAACTATCACTTAGGTCCATTTTCACTTTTCTGTCACAGTCTCCGTTAAAAGCATAAAAAAAGACAACTTTGCCCTTAATTTTTTAATCACATTTACTCTAAAATATCAAATACCCTAAATGACTATTATACCCCTAATTAAATTATTAGATTAATTTTTTAATCATACTATTTCTCTCTCCTCTATCTCTATCTGATCGCATACAAACATATACCCGTATATATATATATATATATATATATATATATATATATATATATTATATATATTATATTATACACACAAGCACAACACCGGCGACGATGTCAGCGCAAAAGGCGGCGGCAGGGGCATGCGCAGGAGACGGCGGCGGTGGAGCAGGTACAAGAGACGATGGTGGGACGCCGAGGAAACCCAGGTACAGAGGGTGCCTGAAGAACCACGCTGTGTACGGCTGCAGAGAGCCCATCAGTCGCGTCATCGTCTACCGATCTGGGTGCCTTCGTCACCATCGCCTACGTGCCTAACCGATGTCATCGTCGTGGGTTACGATTGGATTTTCCAGAGCAGCAACGAAGGTGCGGTGGTGCCCAACTGATCTGGGTGGTGAAGATGTGCCAAGACTTGAGAAGTTGCTAAAGAGCCCGAGCTTCAAGGACAAACCGGCGTTGTCAACGCTCATTGGGAGTCTAATTAGATCTGGTGTTGTTTCGGGTCAAGAAAACACCATATATGTATATGTTGTTTTTGCTATATGCTTCTCTTTTTTCAAAAATTCTTGACCGCTACTAATTATCAAGCTCATCGATCGGAAAAAGATCAGCAGACTTGGGAATTTTTGACATTAACCTTTTTTTTTTTTTTTGTTATCATTCTGTTAAGATTTTGGTGATTGGGTTACCAATTTTACAATACTATGTCACCTGGACTCAAGATATCAGCAATTTGAAAGGTTTCTCAGAGCTCGTTTCTTCTTTATTCCACTCTCAGTTTCTTTAGTTTTCTCTTCTGGGTTTTTATTTTCTTTCTCTAAACTCTAAATTTCATTTATTTTCGTTGTTTTTCTTTCTAGGTTGCTTCTCTTTCTCTTCTAGGCTACTGATTTTATTGAAGAACCTCTCACCATTTTTGTATTAAGAACGCTCTGAAATTATTGGGTCACGGCTTGCGGGTGATACATATATGCATATATATATACATAAGGGTCATTGTGTATTTTGTTTCAGTAGTTATTATTGTTGAAACACTTATATGTATATATGTATTTATGCTGGGGTCTTATTGTAATTAGATATAGGTTTGTGGCCATTATGTAATTAGGCCTTTATTGTATTGTATATAACTCCCTTTATGTTTTAGGGTTAAAGATATATGAGAAAATGGGCTGAGCAATTTAGTCTCTCTCTCTCGCTGTCTCTCCTTCTCTCTATATCTCTATATTCAATATATACAAATCTTCATTTCTACATGGTATCAGAGCGGATCGAAATTGTGAGTGGGAAATTGCAATTGCATTGTTCTTGTATAGATCTAATCTGTAGATCTATTCAGAGCTCGTGACGGTGGTGTTGCTGCCGTTTTTTGGTTGTCGACGAGCTCGCAGCCTTCTCTTGTCGTCGCTGCTCGTTGCTTGGTCTCAGATCTGAAACCCAGTTTGGTTACTCGCGTTGTTGCCGTTTCAGTTGTCAACGAATTCACCGCTTTCTCTTGCCGTCGATGCTTGCTGCTGCTCACCGGCGGCTGTCGTCGTCGTTGCTGCTGGTTGTTTGGTCACCGACGGCTGTTGCGAGGTGTATCGCTGCTTGTGATTCCATCGCCGCTGCCGCTGCGTACTTACCGGAGAGCTGAGAGACGAATGGTGTTTGGCTACAGGGTGCTCGCTATCCTAATCCAGATTAATATAATCCGGATTTGTTCCGACCCGGTTTAAGGTCCGGTCCGTTTGACCCGGTTTAAGGTCCGCCCTGTTTGACCCGGTTTAAGGTCCGCCCTGTTTGACCGACTCAAGATCCGACCCGTTTAACCCAATTCAAGATCCGGCTCGATTTACTTACCGGGTCTGTTCTGCTCCGAGTCTTCTTTTGTTCCCGGTTCAACTCTGGTCTGGCCTTCTCAGGTGCAACAACTTCTTTGGTTCCTTGCTACAGATTTGGCATCTTAACTTGGCGGAGATAAGTTTTTTTTTTCTTTCCATATTCATATCTCCATGCCAGACGATTCAAATGTTGCTTCTGGGTCTACTGGAGTTAAATCTTCTGCAACATATGTTGATCCTGTTGGGCTGCAAATTACATCTATGAAATTAAGTAATTCTAATTACTTATTATGGGCTCAAGCAGTAAAGATTTCTTTAGGTGTCCGACGAAAGCTGAAGCTTATTATAACTGATCCTCCATCAAAAACATCAGCAACATATGAGGAGTGGGAAACTGATAACTATATGGTTATGTCCTGGTTGTGGAACAGTATGGAACCTTCAATTGCATCCACTTTTATGTTTGTCAACACTGCCAAGGCAATCTGGGATGCAATAAAAGAAACTTACTCTATGGACACAAATGTTTCTCGCATATATTCATTATATGAAAAGATATTTCATTCTCGTCAATCTGACTTCTCTGGTCAAGGCCTTGGTGAGTATTACAGTAATTTCAAAAGCCTGTTAGATGAGTTAAATCAATACCACCCCTTGACTACTGATCCTGATGTTCTCAAGCGACAACGTGAGGAATTTTCTGTTTCTATTTTTCTTGCTGGTTTGCACCCGAACCTTCATAATATTCGGGACCAAATTCTTGCGGGTGATGGAGGACTCCCATCTTTGGGTAACATTTATTCCCGTTTACTTAGGATTTCAGAACAATCACATATGACGCCCACTGGAGTGAAAGAAAATTCAGCTATGATGATTCCTTCTATTTTTCCACAGTCCTCTAGAGGTCGTGATAGTCCTAGTGGCAACAGAGGGTATGGTGGAAATTCAGGTGATACTCCTAGTGGCAACAGAGGGTATGGTGGAAATTCAGGTAGTTCTCGTGGCGGTAGTGGCCGTGATAGAAGTCGCAATCGCCGTGGTCGTGGACGTAGTGACACTCGTATGTGCAGCCACTGTAAGGGTACTAAGCATTCTGTTGAGAACTGTTGGACTCTTCATGGGAAACCAACATGGGCAAATCAAGCAGTGTCTTCCTCTGACCTTGCAGGGTCTCATCCCTCTCTTGGTCAGACTTCTGGATTACCATCACCTGCATCTACTAGTGACACTGTGACACTATCACTATCACGAGCTGAGTTCAGTGCATTGGTCAACCAGACACATCCCAACTCTACTGATGTAGTTAATTTTGCGCAATCAGGTAATATTGCATGCTTGTCCGATTTACAGACTTCAGCATCCCCTTGGGTTATTGACTCTGGGGCTTCTACCCTTCTCACAGGTGATGCCTCTCTATTTTCTAATTTTCAGAAGTCTAGTTCCTCATCTTTTGTTACTATGGCTGATGGTAGAACATGTTCCATTATTGGCGAGGGAACAATTAAATTAACCCCATCCATTTCTTTATCCTCTGTGCAATTGGTTCCAAATTTTCCCTTTAATTTATTATCTGTAAGTAAATTGACTCAAGCACTGAACTGTTTTGTCACATTTTATCCTTCGTCTTGTGTCTTTCAGGACCTCAACACGAAACAGACGATTGGTGGGGGCAGTAACAGAAATGGCCTATACTATTTGGATTGCAAACCTTCCACTATTGCTTTACATTCCCAGATGTCTATGTACCAGTGGCATTATCGGTTAGGTCATCCCTTGTTGCGGTATTTGAAGTCTGCTTTGCCTTTCCATGAGTCGGTGTCTATTTTAAATTGTGAATCTTGTCAGTTGGGTAAGCACCATAGAGTGCCTTTCCCTCCTCGTATTGTTAATCGTCGGTCTTCTTTATTTGAATTAGTACATACAGACATTTAGGGTCCCGCTCGTCACACTAGTCACTCAGGTTTTTCTTATTTTGTTACCTTTGTTGATGATTATTCAAGGATGACTTGGTTGTTTTTAATAAAAAACCGTTCTGAACTGTTTTCCATATTTCAAATATTTTTAAAAGAAATTGAGGTCCAATTTGGGTGTGTTATACATACTTTACAATCTGATAATGCTATGGAGTATGTCAAATGTGCTATTTCTAGTTTTTGCGACTCTCGTGGTATTTTGCACCAAACTTCTTGTTCTTATACTCCTCAACAAAATGGCGTAGCTGAACGGAAAAATAGGCATTTAATTGAAATCGCTCGTACATTGATGATACATATGCATCTACCAAAAGCATTTTGGGGCGATGCTGTTTTTACTGCTTGTTATTTAATTAATCGTATGCCATCTTCCGTTCTTAATTGGAAATGTCCTTATTCCTTTGTTTTTCCTACTCGACCATTATTTGCATAGCCGCCACGTGTTTTTGGGTGTATGTGTTTTGCTCACATATTACGCCCTGGCACTGATAAATTGTCTCCTCGTGCCATCAAGTGTGTCTTTATTGGATACTCTCGGACTCAAAAAGGTTATAAATGTTGGGATCCTAGCACTCGTAAGGCTTTTGTGTGCATGGACGTTACCTTTTTTGAGGATACTCCTTATTTTTCTTCACATAGTTCGTCTTTAGAAACCGAGCTACTGCTTCCGTTGCCTGTTGTGTCACATTCATTACCCTATGACCCACTACAATCACCTCATGTGCCACCGCCACTTCAAGTGTATAGCCGTCGATCACGAGTAGCCCCCACCCCAATTTTCTACTTCCATTGAGGCTCCTCCTGCTACTGATGATCTTCCTATTGCATTACGTAAGGGTGTTCGCTCATGTGTCACTGCACACCCCATATCTAACTTTGTTTCCTATAAAAAGGTATCGCCCTCATTTTCTTGTTTTTAATCCACGTTATTTGCTACTGCTATTCCCAAAACTGTGCAGGATGCTCTATCTGATACAGCTTGGCGCAACGCCATGATAGATGAAATGGATGCTCTTCATCATAATGGGACATGGGATCTTGTTTCCTTACCCCCCCGGCTCCAAAACGGCTGGTTGTAAGTGGGTCTACACTGTCAAATATCTCCATGATGGATCTGTTGAGCGATTGAAGGCTCGCCTTGTTGCAAAGGGATACACACAAACCTATGGTATTGATTATGATGAGACTTTTTCTCCTGTTGCGAAGATTTCTTCTATCCGAATCCTTATCTCTATTGCCGCCAATCGCAATTGGCCATTGTTTCAATTAGATGTGAAAAATGCTTTCTTACATGGTGACTTTACATGAAGAGTTTTATATGGAGCAACCACCTGGATTTGTTGCTCAGGCGGAGTCTTGTTATGCTGTATGTCGGCTTAAAAAGGCCCTGTACGGATTGAAACAATCTCCAAGGGCTTGGTTTGGAAAATTCTCCGAGGCGGTACTTTCCTTTGGCCTTAACAGATGCGAGACAGATCATTCGGTATTTTACCAACATACTAAGACTGGCTTTATATTTCTTGTGGTATATGTAGATGATATTGTTATAACAGGTGATAATTCTGACGGCATTGCAAAGTTAAAATTGTTCTTACAGAATCGGTTTCACACAAAGGATCTAGGCAAACTCAAATATTTCTTGGGTATTGAGGTTGCTAGATCCAAGGAAGGTATAAGTCTATATCAAAGAAAATATGTGTTGGACTTGTTAAAAGAAACAAGTATGTTAGGTACTCGCCCTGCTGATGCTCCTATGGACCCAAATATAAAATTATTACCTGATGAGGGTGATTTATTTGACGATCATGGCAGATATCGACGCCTAGTTAGGAAACTAATTTATCTCACTATCACCTGACCTGACATTTCATATGCAGTTAGTGTTGTAAGTCAGTTCATGAGTGTTCCGAGAGTACCACATTGGAATGTTGTTCTTCGAATTATTCGATATCTCAAACAAGCTCCAGGTTTTGGATTACTATATAAATCTAATGGTAATCATAATGTGACAGGTTTCACAGATGCTGACTGGGCTAGTTCTCCCTCAGATAGGAAATCTACTACAGGCTATTGTACACTTGTTGGTGGAAACCTTGTTACATGGAAAAGTAAGAAGCAAACAGTTTTAGCACGGTCTAGCGCTGAAGCAAAGTACAGGGCGATGGCCCATACCTCTAGTGAGTTAACGTGGATACAACATTTTCTTGAAGAACTTGGGTTAATAGTCAAGACTCCTATTCCACTGTTCTGTGATAACCAAGCAGCTATTCACATCGCATCCAATCCGGTTTTTCATGAAAGAACCAAGCACATTGAAGTTGATTGTCACTTCACTCGAGAGAAAATATTGAGTGGAAACATTTCTACTCCATTCGTGAAATCTGAAGATCAATTAGCTAATATGTTTACTAAGGCTCTTGGTTATAATCAATTAAAAATAATTTGTTCCAAGCTGGGATTATATGATATATATTCTCCAGCTTGAGGGGGAGTGTTGAAACACTTATATGTATATATATATTTATGTTGGGGTCTTATTGTAATTAGATATAGGGTTTGTGGCCATTATGTAATTAGGCCTTTATTGTATTGTATATAACTCCCTTTATGTTTTAGGGTTAAAGATATATGAGAAAATGGGCTAAGCAATTTAGTCTCTCTCTCTCGCTGTCTCTCCTTCTCTCTGTATCTCTATATTCAATATATACAAATCTTCATTTCTACAATTATAATTGGATCTGGGAGTCCAATAAATAATAACTATATATTGGATTTCTCATTTAGAACGGTTAATCAAATTCTAAGTTTATATTTTCAAGAATATAAAGATGAATTGAGATTACCAAATAAAAATAGTTACACACACATTAGCATTTGTGTTATTTGGATCATTCATGTGCAGAATTGAGATTTTTTGTTGCGTTATTTTTTTGTCTCCTAGTAATTCATCTTTGTGATTTTGTTGATATTCAATTTTGTTTTCGGTTTCCTCTCTCTTTTTATTTTTGATTTTTTACACACACACATATATATATATTATGTACATATATTTGTGCTTAACACAATCATTGGTAATCCACCACCAAGCCAAGACCACCATCCTTGTAACACAACCAACAGAGCAAACACCACTAACAGAACAAAGCTCAATTTTTACACGAGGGTAAATATGTCATTTGAATTATTAAAGAAACAATTTAGTTGGTTAAACCAAAGTCAAAGGGTAAGAATGTCTTTTCACATGTAAAAAGTGGTCTGACACACCTGTCAACTAACTTTTGAGGTGTGAGTGAAAAACGAAGCAAACGTTTGTAATGTGAGTGATAGTTATTTTTGAAAGATATTTTAGACTGATATTTGGCGAAACTACTGGGGGTGTCAATGAAATTATCCCCTTTTTTTATGTTAATAGCACCCAAGTTGAAGAGACAAAAAAAAAAAAAAAACAGAAGTTACCTGAATTTTCCAGGGCAAGCAAGGGAGCATCTACCGGCCTCCAATTTTAAAGGGTTAATCAATTATTACTTGTTGACACGTTCATACATCGATATCAGGAAGAGGCAGTTTCCAGAAATTCCATTGATTAAAATCCTCCTGGAACCAAGGGGAAAAATTGGAGTATAAAACCGAGTCATTTCCATAAAAGGAACCAAAGAAACCTGATAATTCTAATTCAAATTTATCTTGGGAGGACACAAGCATGTGTGATTAGTTGATTTGGAACAGAACTTGGATGAGCTAGTAACATTATCAGGCAGGAACAGATAAAATTAATGAAGTCACCTGAAGAAAAAAACGTCTTAACCTCCTGATTTACCTCTGTGCTTGTGCTCAAGTTCAAAATATCTATGTGCAAGAAACCAGTGGAGGGAATGGGGTAAACATGGACAAACCAGTAATCTTGAGTTTAACCTCATACTTGTCAGTTTTCGCTTTAAAAAAGAGACCCTGAACAAATATGTTTTTCTTTCTTTCGTTTTTCTTTTCATTGTTAAATGAGTGTTCACTTTTTCCTCAAATTCAAATTACCATGTGCAAAGGCGACAAAGTGGGGAGGGAAGAGATGGACAAACATGTAACCTTGAGAAAAATATTTTACACCTATTAGAGGTCATTGATTAACAAAAGAACCCCTTATCAAATATCAATTGCCATTTTAGTGTGAAAAAATAAAGAACGAACTAAACCTGCTCAGACGAGGACATGGGGAACATGTTATGCACAAGATCATGAAGGGATGTATATGATTTTGTGTTGACACAGCGATTCACAACCACCTGACCCTGCAAACACAAAAACATCACAAGATAAGTTTTTCATAGTTTTGACAGACATTTGAGGCCTTACACAGTAAATAGTAGAGAGTTTCCATATTTACCTTGGGATTGATAATGAAGATTTTTCCCTTTGGGATTCCAACCTTGAGGTAGCTAAACTCATCGGTGTCTCTGTTTCCAAAACCAGCATAGAACGGGTTGCGATCAGGAGGAAATAATGCCTTGATATCCTGGAAAGTCCAAGAAGAAAAGAATTAAGAGGCTCCTCTTTCCAGTTATATAACCTTCAAAAGCAATGCTACAAAATAATCCAAGGAAATCAGGTTTCATAATTCGGGCATACGATGATTCTTTCACCATCAGGGGCATTAATTTACCTACATTATACAAAACTATCCCGCGTCTTTACTCAAGATCCCAGCATCATAATTCCATTTCGTCTAAATTTCCAAATAAATGGGTTTCTAAATGCTATGGCCCTAGATTGAATGAAATGGTAAAACATGATTTTATGTACCCAACCCAAGTAGTTGCACAGACATTGACAAGATTCAGATAATGAATTTTAGATATCTAAGCCACAAAATAGAGATATTTATTAAAAATTGGTGGATAGAGAATATAACATTTTAATTTTCATTTCCTAATAGAGGGTCGTTGCCTGGTTTAGTGATTTAACGCTTGAACATCAGTGTCTTTGGTGCAAGTTTGAGTCTTAGAGCAGCCACTTTGTGAAATACAGCTCTGTCTCGAGCCCTCCCTCCTCAGGGCGTTGTGACTGAAACTGGGTAATTTCTCTCTAACTTTCATCTTCTATAATATTCTTCATAAATATTTATAATTATTTTACATGACCAGGTTAACATGGCGCATGACACAATTTCATTGTTCATGACATGCATTTGGGCACTTTCGGGTGAAAGAATCCACTGTTGCACTTTTTGGATGGTATAATTATCATGACCACCAAATATAATAGAAAGGAGCTGCTAATAAGGAGAAAATATGGCCTTAAATTTTGCTAGAGTTAAGAAAAAGAAATCGAGAAAGACAAAGTAAATTAACACAATAATCTCAAAAAATTTGCATGGAACATCAAAACACACTTAATTCTTGAATCATCTACCAGCAACACAAAAGCTACATATGCAAATGGTTAGAACATATATCAGGTTGGAGAGGTGAAAATTATCAGATGTATAAAGAAACATTTGTAGTAGTGAGGAACTAGGAACTGACCTCTAAGCAAGCAATTTTGAATTCGTGAGGAGCTCTTCTAATAACTGCAAAAAGAAAAAGAAATTTTCTGAGTGCATTAAGAATAGAAAAGCAGCTAACAAGAAGACTCCGAATGCTCACAACCCTAAAGATTTTTATTTGAACATCATATATTACTGATCTGCAAGATAACATATAACTAATAAATGTAAAACATATCCATGGTTTAATCTAAAAATCAAAGTGATACAATTCATGAAATTTGAAGTCAATCGCGCTCTGAATTAGGATTTAGGAATGACAAGTGGAGTCTAAATTACCAAAACTGGACCTTTTGCAGACTATCCCATGGAGTTCAAATTATCAAAAAAATGACCTACCTTATGAATCCTATTAATTTTTTCGGACATCAAATCAAACACCAGAAGTGTAGAGATGGACTATTCTGTCACGATTAAATGCATTATAGGTGCATTACGATAAAGGGAAAAGCAAAATAACATAAATGTGAAAAGCAATAAAAGAACAGATTACGTAATTCTAAAAAGGTAGATACGATCAGGTCTCACAGTCATTGCAGAAACAGAAGGGACTTAAGACCAGGATGATCAAATTAATTGTGATGACAAAAAAATATGAATATGACTGCTGAAAGAACCCATGCATATAGCAACCAATGGGCACTAGCCTAGATGGTACAAGCTATCCTCCCCAAATGGGGAGGTTGAGTGTTCGAGCCTCAGTGGAGGCATTATATATATATAGTGGGTGAGTGTGTTTGCTTGAACTTTAGAGAGAGAAAAAAAAAAAAAAAAAAGCTATCAAAATAGTAGTGGCAGTATACAATTTGAGAGAGAGAGGGAGGAAGTATAGGCAATGATTTAACCATGTAAGAAGTCTGCCGATGGCTACCACATTTACCGCTTTGTCCACTGACTCAAGATTTAAATCAGGATTAGTGTAACATTGGGTGTTCAAAATGTTTTTCTTTCATACATATTAATTGCACAATTTGAAAAAAACAATGTAATTCGTGGACAAGTTTTAAGAAAAAAACATATGCACCAATTACCTTCCCGGAACAAAGAAGGAAAAAGTCCATCAGGGGATATAACAATAGGCCCATCTGGTAGAGCCTTTCCATTCTACAAATTGGATAAACAAATTCTGTTAGAGGTATAAAAAGAAAATAGACAGGATATATAGAAACTCAAGACTTTCTTGATTTCAATATCCAATGCAAATCAAGAACTAAACATTGATTGTCCACATCATCACCTGCTTAAGGTTAAATAGGAATTGTCTAGTGTGATAAGCCTGAGAAATTGCACGTGCACTTAGAAAAAGCAATTGATATCCATTTTCCTGCAGCATTAGAAAACAACTTGGGTTTACGAAAAATACCAGCAACAAGTCACTAGTGCTGAGTCGTGATGAGTAATGATGTGAATATTGTACAATTTTTTATTTTATTTTATTTTGCGTTCTCAAACAGAAATGCAGAAACATTTAAAACACCACAAAGCCAGTAGTTTGAATTGTATTTGTGGAATGGTCATATAACATGACTACTGTTGGGTTGAGGGTTTTGTTTGGAGCCACTTTTGGTTTGTCTTTCAATTATGCAAAAAGTGATTTTATCCCATTACCAATATGCAAAAATCAAATTCATCGACTCATTTTCATATGGCAATTAAATCAAAACCTCCTTTCCCAATAAGGGAAAAAATTGTTTTAGACCAAGAAGAATTTTTCTGGGGCAATTAGGTAATTTTTCTCTAACTTCTTAAGTTTTAGTTATGCAGATGGTAAGCGTTGCTATGGCTATCCCTGTTTTCTCGCTATGGCTGTCACACATATATTCTCATTCTCTGAGTCTTAAGGCTAGTGGATTTGATCGAAAAAGAGAAGAAATATCAAATTCAGAATAGTACACGATAGTGAGTCAATTGTGTGAAGAACTACAAGAATCTTATTCTCGTTGTGATGTTGTGGCCTGAATTTGGTTCCAGGTCGAATTTTGACCCTTTTTTTGCTTGTGGGTCGTGGACCCTATTTAGTACTTTCTTGTAGCCCGATGGTGATACATAAGGGCATTTTGAAATCTCTAGTTTTTCATGTAGTAAAAACTTTTGCCAGATCTTCATTGTGGACATAGACACAACTTGTGTCGAAGCACGCTAAATCTTTGTGTTCTTTGGGTTTGGTGTGTTTACTTTTCTGCCTTGATTCGTGATTTATTCTTTGGTTCGCTGCGTTTGTCGTAACACTAGCTGCTAATTCAAAATTCTTGAAGTGATTTTTCTGAAGATAAGATGCTATCCTTGAAAAGCTCTCAAGATCAAATCATCAAAATTCAAGCTTCGATAATTCAAGTTCTCATACAAAGTTTCTGAAATAGCTTGAATACATCATCGCCATTCCTTCTTCCTTCATGTGATGCTATGAGTGAGAAACAATACTTTGAATGTAAAAATGTGTGGACCAGGGTGTGATTGTTTATTTAGTGACAGATTATTATGTTGGGAGCAAAAAGGGGGTGTTCATTGTATATGTTGGCAGTGAGGTGAAGATATTGAGTGTGCAAGAGAAATCAACATAGTGAAACCCTTTCTGAGCCAAAAGGTTCCTTGGATGTTATCGCAATTATATGGGGTTTTACCACATTAAACTGTGTTGATATTGTTCTCTCTAATTCTGCATTCTCTTCTGACTTGTTTAAAATTTATTTCAAAAATTATACAATTCTCAACAAACCAATTCACCCCTCCCCTCTTTTCATCAACAACATCTGTCTATTCCCGTAACTGAGTGATGGATTACACTACAAATGACTGCCTTAAAACCGATAAACATACATTAAAAGTTACAAATATAAGCATGCGAGAGGAGATGTAACAAACCTTAATAGCTGAAAATAGATGTGCAACACCAGTTTGTGACCAATCCATTCCAAACATAGGCATGAACTGTCCTAAAACATCAGATCTGAAATATGAATGTGGATAAGAATTAGATACGACCAAGAGAACTTCAGCCTTTAGCACTATTGGTGCTTTGAAAAAACGAACCAAACCATCAAAGAAACTTATTGCAACCAACTCCTGGAACAATGAAGAGTTATGGCTTACAAAGTTGACTTCACTAATTAGAAAGTAAAAGGTACAACAATCAACATGAAGAATATTCAGTAGAAAGACACACCAAGTTTTTAGAGTTTATATTTATGATATGATGAAGACGGAAGATAAATAATTACTCAGATTACGGACGTTGATTACATAACGTTGAACAACAGAACATATAGTAGCTACATATATACATATACATACATACATATATATATATATATAAAACAGTTGTATGGAAAGCTTGCACCACAGCCTCCTTATATATCTTTTTAAATTCACTATATCTTCTTTTCATATATTTCTTTTTGGTTACTTCCGCAGGTGTTGAACTTAAATCAACAAAACCTTGTACCTAATCTTTAGAGCTAGCTAGATGAATCCCATTTCTTCATTACACTATCTTAATCCACAATTTCAGTTGAACTACACCTATCACATCCTTTCTATGTCATCCCATATTAATTTTGGTCTTCCCCTACCCCTAGCACTACTATCAATATGGAAGACTTCACTCCTCCTCATTAGTGCAAATAATTATGTTAATTGCACGTGATCAATCAAACAGTCTTAATATTCTCTCATTTTATCTCCAATGGTTGTTAGTTCCAATGTCTCATGAATCCTTTCTAGTTTTATTTGCTTTTAGCAAAAGTAAATAAAGCAGCCTTCAAATATTATTCCTTAAAGTCTTTCCTTAGCAGTCATGTTTCAAACCTCTCAATCCCAGTTCCCACCTCGAAAGAGTACCATTCTCAGAGTTGGGAGGCCTTGTTCATAGCAATAATTCAGCTGGTTTTCTCTCGGGATCTTACTTGCTGGCATGATATAATTGGACCTGATTACATGTTTATTACATTCGCTTTGCCTTTTTTTTTTCTTTTTTTTCCAATGTTTGCCGCTATGGTGACTTCGATATTCTCATATCCTCTCTCCCTATATTTATATCTCTTCCTACCTGGGGATATGTAATTTTGTATAATCAATTTGGCTTAGGTAGAAAAAGAAAAACTTTAGTAACTTAAGTCTTCTGTCATAAGCTTAATGGACCTATGGAAAATTTTGCGGCCCCTGAGTAACGTTGTGCCTTTCATTCAATGTTTTGGATTTGAGTCTCTCCTTAGCAGTAACATTGTGCCTTTCATTCAATGTTTTGAATTTAGGTGTCAAAAATTTCACCTTATGTAAGAGAATCACTTGCAGTTTTCCACAAGTTAGCTTGGAGCGAGGTGACTGTCCCTGCACCCGCATGGTTTTCTAATATTAAACCCAATCCCGCCCAAAAAATTAAACGGGCCTCCATAACCATTTCAAATGGGGCGGATAAGCTACATGATCCACCAAACAATACTCCATAGGACACCTTCCGACATCAAGAATGGCTTTGGTGAGAGAGGATGAGTTTCTCACTGTTCCTCCTTGTTTGTTCTGTTGTGTTTGCCTGGATTTTTTACGTAATATTTTAGGTATCTAATTCTTTGTTAAATGAAAAAAAAAAAATAAGTAAAAAATATATAGAGAGAAAGGGAAGAGGAAGAAAAAATAATGCAGACCAAATCTATTCTATCTTATCAAGAAATTGAAGTTCATTGCAAAAAACTAAACCAATCTCTTTAGAAATCAAAAACCAACTAGCCATGTCCAACTTTCACATATTGTCCAGTAGTAATTCTATCAACTGGAAAACATCAGATCATGATATTCGGATCTGTTGCTAGTTTGAGACTCAGAATAGATGATTGGTTAATAACGAAAGTTAGGCTTGTCTTTGTTCTTCCCCTCCCAGGAGCCCATGTAGATATATACATTGGGTAATCAAATCATGTCCCTTTAAAAAAATAAATCATATTTGAAACGAACTTATTTGTTCATAATATCATGATTCAAGAAACCTAACTATGTAAATGTGACCTTCAATTCTTAATTTTCTCATGATACAAAGTATTAGGTGTAAGCTTCTCATGTTTAAAAAATGTAAGAATAGCCTTACTTGGTAATTGTCCCATCAACATCTGAGATTACTATACGGGTGTCCCATCTCCACAAATACATTTTGGCTTCAACCTGTTAAATACGTCCACAAATAGTTGAGAGCCCAACCACCCATACAAAGACCTATACAAACACACACACACACACATATATATATATAGAGAGAGAGAGAGAGGAGGGGGAGAGATATTTTTCCAGCAAGAAAGAAAAATCCAACTGAACAATGCAACAAAATAACCTGCTGCTTCCCCAGCATTGCAGTTGAGAATGTGAAGGTTACTGTGTTTCTCCCTTCCTTCAGATTCAAGGATGCCAGTTGTTCGGATGTTGGAGTGATTGCCCTTACTTTCTTTTTATTGACCTTTAGTTCAAGCACATCTTTCTCACCATCCACGTCAACAGCACTCTCAAAAGTACTCCCAGCATCAGAACTTCTGGTACGGTTTATAGCTGACTGGGTAGCTTTCATGCTTCTTGATCTTTTGAAAGGAAAAGACCACCAGCTTCCACCGGAGGCATCAATGGCTGTAGATGTGTCCCCTGCAAGACGTTTCTTAACTCAGTCAACAGCTATAATAACTTTTGGTTCAAATACGTGCTCAATTCCAAATGAACCCATCCTAAGACAAGAGATACAGCCTCATTCCGTAGGAAGTAATGGCTACCAATTCTGGTTACGAGCCAATAATTCTTCAATACACCAGGACCCAGAGACGCAAATTTATCCATGTCCATTTATTTATTTTTTAATTTTGGCAAGTTAGAATTTTAATAAAGATACAAACAAAACAACAGGCAATTCAAACAGCCCTCAAACAAATAAAGAACTTTCTGAAAGACTCACTCAGAAAAAACTAACCACCGAAGCCTAATAAAGACAAAAGAGAACACATTTTAAGTCAAAACAGAACTTCAGAATCTAGACTAAAGCCACTAAGCTACAAAACAATCAAATTAAACTAAGACCAATCCAGCAGCAATTAAAGAACTGTCTTCCAAGAGAAAAGCAATAAGCAGCAAAGCAACAGAACCCATCAACAGCCAAATTCCATCCCAGCAGAAACCCATGTCCAAGTTTCAATATTATATGCCTGAAGAGGCATCAGCCCCCATTGTATCATATGACGAGTGTTTGCGAAGAGATATTTTGTGTAAAGAACAGGCTTATAAGAGTGTGTGGAACTACCCAGAAGAAAAGAAAAAAACCATTCCCCTTTTTTTTTGTTTCAGCGGCAATTAGGAGCAGAAGTCCATCCTTAATTGAATCCTTACTAAAATGGAGTCATCACCATAATTGTTACAAAATCAAAAAGAACATGATTACTCCAAATTTTGAAAATTCAGCTCTTACATTAAATGAGATATTTGGTATGGACTCATTTCAAATGCCATAAACAACTGAATGGAATGATTTTGTTTCACTTCGGTGTCCGCATATCCTGAATTTATGTGTGCCCTTAATATATGATGATATAAAAGAGAATAGTTCTCATACCAGTAGCAGGGTTGGCAGGTACATCTTTGAGCTCCTCTAATATCTGATCATTGGTAGTTGTAGGCTGTGCCAGGGGAAATTGGTGTTCTCTGTCTGCTTCTGACTTCACAAGTTTTGAATACTCTTTCCGAAGCAACATCCACTTTGAGGATTTGTAATTTAAATCCAGAGAACGGCCTAAGGAATGATGAAGGTTGGGTGCATCCATATCATCAACATTTAGCCGCAGATTAGGTAAAGATTCAACCATCCTCCCAACTTCCTCATTAGGAACTTCACTACTTCCAGGAATACTAATGCTCCTTGATAAAATCCTTGACTTTTGTCTCGAGTCTTCGTCACTATTTGGTGGATTCTCTTGAACAAACTTGTCTGGAGATGAACTAAACTCAAAATTTGAATCGAATGACTCAATCACAATTTCAGTGTTTTCTGGTGTAAGAGAAGGATTATCTTTCTCCTCGTGATCTGCAGAAATTAAGTTCGTGCATTGAACTCCACCGATTTGGAAATCATCAAGGTCACTAAAGGCGAATTGTTCCTCCTCTGAACCTTCTGGTACTAAATTATTTGTTGCCTCTGTGGGGACATGATCACTAGATTCTTGGGGAACGCCAACAGGTTCAGAAGAATGTTGCAGGTTGTTATCTTCATCCGTATCATTTTTCTCGTCTTTTACTTGACATATTGGATTGCTGAAACCAGAAACGGAGCAAAAGCTTTGTGACTCAACTTCTTTGACTGAAACATTTATTGAGCTAACAGTGACCATTTGACTATAGGTGTCAGTTACAATACCGTTTGCAATTGAGCTTGAAGAAGTAGAAGTTCCCTCACTTTCAGGAATATTTGCATCATTAAAGACATTGCAACCGTTCTTATCTCCTAAAATTTCTTGAAAATCCAAAGATTCTTTTGCTAATAATAAACCAGCTTTTGGTGAAGAGTTTACCAGGGATTTTAGCTCAGTAGTCTCGTGAAAAGTTTCAGAATGGACATGGACTTCCCCAGATCCTCCACAAGGAAGGTATAGCATTTCTCCAGATTGTTTGCCTGAACCATCCAGTCCTGCCCTAGGGCTCTCTGATGCTTCACAGTCAACATTAGATTGAAGTTTATCTGCTCCATTTTCCTCCTCGGAAACAGCACTGCATGGTAAAACGACGTTGTTGTCAAAATCCTGATTTTCATCGAGCTTCTTGCTGGTGTATGCTTCAAGCTCTACAATTTCTGCAATTTCTGAATTAGGAATTGTGATCACAGATGTGGCACATTGACCATCCTCATCATGATCTGCATTCCTTACACCCAACTCGTCTACTCTTTCTGACATTTCAGAATCCATTAAATCCTTATTTTCATCAAGCTTCTTGTTGGTGTATGCTTCAAGCTCTACAATTTCTGCAACTTCTGAATTAGGAATGGTAATCACAGACGTGACACATTTACCATCCTCATCATGATCTGCATTCCTTACACCCAATTCGTTGACCGTTTCTGACATTTCAGAATTTGTTAAATCCTGATTTTCATTGAGCTTCTTGCTGGTGAATGCTTCAGGCTCTACAATTTCTGAATTAGGACTGGTAATCACAGATGTGACACATTTACCATCCTCATCTTTATCTGCATTCCTTACACCCAATTCGTTGACCGTTTCTGACATTTCAGAATTTATTAAATCCTGATTTTCATCGAGCTTCTCGCTGGTGAATGCTTCAAGCTCTACAATTTCTGCAATTTCTGAATTAGGAATGGCAATCACAGATGTGACACATTGACCATCCTCATCGTGATCTGCATTACTTACACCCAATTCGTTGACTGTTTCTGACATTGCAGAATTTATTTCATCATTTTCTCCCAAACCACTCCCAGTTGGAGTCAGTGTTCCAACAACACGTTCAGTGATTAAACATGATATTCCCATGCCGGTTCCCTCAACAGAACTTTTCAGTTCCTGAAAGCCAGGCTGAGAACCATTGCTCGTTCCATGGTCATGAGAAACAATTTCTTCATGTGAGACATGATGGTCTGAACCATTTTCCACATTACTATTTGCAAGTGAATTCGCCTGCCTCTGTTGGTCATTAATCTGCAAATCCTGAATTTCTCCACCATTTGAAATATCTGGAACAGAAATTTCCGGAGTCCTATCATTCCGTTGCCTACCCGAGGCAAGATTGGTGGACCATTTCACCTCCAAGAGATCAGCTGCAATCTCAGCACGTTCCATAGAATCTATCCTTCCAACATCAGAGCTGTCCCCTTCAACCCCCAATCTGTCCCCCTTAATTGAATTCCTTCCAAAAACAAGCCCCATAATCCGAGACCGGCGGGAACCTGTTCTAGCCACAATCCCCTCGTTGCTCACATCGATCTCAGTAACCGGATCAGACTTGGTAGCATCATAATCACAACTTTTCGACTTCATTGGCTTCCTATCACTAGACTGCCCCTCTGTCTCCTCACCAGAAGATGAAGGATATAATGTGGATTCATCTTCTTCAACAACATCCGAATCCCTGAGAAAGTAAGCTTCCCCTTTATGATCCAAGTACATATGGAAATCCGCTTCAACCTCATTAACACTTATGTTGACCACTTTCTCATTTCTCTTCAAAACCCCTTGAAATTTACCGAATTTAACATACCAAGGCGACGATTTGAAGCTCCCATCTTGTTGTTCAACAACAATAATATCTACAGCTCCACCAAACGGATGAAAGGGAGCAGATACAGTATAAACACCACGGGAGATGAATCTCCCCACCGCATACATCCTCAAAAAAATTGAATTTTTTCAATTACCCAGATTAGTAATTGAATTTTTCCAATTACCCAGACCACTAATTCAAAATTACATAATAAATAAACAACCCAATTGATCAACACGCAAAATTTGGAGCCTTTTGGCTCATAAATTGCATTGCATTGATCATCAGATATGATAAAAAGCTCTCAAACTCTCCTTTTTTGCATCACCCGAAATTTCAATTTTGCAGAGAACCAACGAAGATCACAAAAATCCCAATATTATCACAACATATGGTTCAAGAACGCAATTTGATTGCCTCACGAAATAGCAAAGCTTATTGAGTCAAAAACAGTGACACGTAAACGAGATGGAAACAAAACAGCCAAAGGATGGTCGTTGAAGAACTGTTGGTGCGAAAAGCATATTCGGTTTAGATTATTCGAATGTGCCAATCATAATAAGGAAATAATCATTCCAACAAATTAAGAATATGAGCCGCCTCTATATTATATAACATATATATATATATAGATATATATATATGAATTAATAAGGTGTGAGCCCAGAAAACTGACCTTCGGAGAAGAAAACCAGTTTTTGAGAGAAAGGCCCAACAGTTCTTCGCAATCGAGAGAGGGAGAAAGAAAGAGATGGACCAGAGATTAGATGGTGCTTGTTTTATTGAAAACGTCGATGAAGAGATCGCATGATGACGCGTCGTGACACGTCAGCTGGATTGAATGTTTGACAGTTCGTTTGGTAGGTGCAGGGTGTTTATGAGGAGGTGTACAATGTCCAGGGTTAATAATGTAAATTCACTTTTTTATAAAAGTTGATTTGGATATTGTTTCATTCCCCACACACTCCATATTTCTAAGTTTTGAAACGGCCTTTTCATAATTAAGATGCATCTATGTGTAATTGTGTATAAGTGCTTAGAGTTTTTTTGGATTTGAGGTTGTTTACTTTGTCCGTATCAACTAAAAAATTCATCTCATAAATTCATGTTCTTAGGTCGAATTTATCATGTATAAAAAATCAAATTAATTGGATGAATCCATGTTATAAATTAAAAATGACACTTAATTAAGATTCTTTCATGAAATTTTGTAAAGAGAAAGGTTTGAATTCATGGATTAACGGATAAAAAATCCTCTTCATTTACTTTCTCACTGAAGTACATCTATTGAGTATCTAATGGTGGTAATTAAAGCCACATCTATAACATAATTTTGTCATCCCCAAATTAACAAGGTAAGTAAAAAATTTACTAATCTACGCTTTGTTTTACTTTATATACTAATACTAATTTATACAGTTATATTTTATGCGATATATTATAATCCTAAAAAAAATATCATTCATATTTAAATTAAAATATATTTTTTTTACTTTTTCTCTTCTGTATTGAAATTCTCTTCGTATATAGTTTATTCTCCTTCCGTCCCAAATAATGTAAATGCACAAGAACAAACAAACTGAATCTCGAATTGCCTCCAAACAATATAAAATACGTTCCAAAATTTTGTTTTACAGATTTTTTATATTCATCAAACCTAATAACCCAAACTTCAAATTTTGTAGATAACCAAAGTCATCCCTGGGTTGCGTCTAAATAAGATAATAGTTGTTTTCTCATTTTGAAAAAATTACAAAAAAAATAAAAATTACAACATTTCACTTACAATTGCCAAATGACCAGAATCTTATTTCCAAAATATGTCTGATTTTGTTTATTTGAAAAGAGAGTTCGTTAATCACAAAGCATCATTTTATGCCATGTGTTTGGATTTGCTTTACGTTTGGTCTTATTTTGCTTCTTTCAGACTTAATTTTGATGAGAGGAAGTTTTCATTTGGTTTGGATGTAAAAATGACTTTTTGCGAGAATGTTTCATTTTTTCTTTTTAGGGAAGTTTAATTTTCAACTTTTGTGCCACTTATTTTGTCAAGTGGAATTGATAAAATAAAAATTAAATTCATTAAATATTACAATATATATATATATATATATATATGTTTGTACGAAAGTTAACTTGTATGTATAAATTGTAATATCGTAAATGGAGAGGTTTTTTTTCTTGGATTAACACCTACCAAATATATTCAAGTTGATAACTCATTTTATCACATATTAACACGTTAATTTTCACATTGAATGTGGTGGAACCCGCCATCACATTCTTGATGAGTAACACACCCGGAATATTTAATATTATTTTCTAATAAACAAGGAGATAGTGGTTCCTACTTGTCGATTTATGCATGTGGGAGGGGAACTTCCCACCAATAAAAATATGCCAATCATGAGACGATATATGGACAATCCAGTCAATAAAGAAGGCTCGGTCCCACCAACAAAATTGCAAAGTCCATACAGCAAAGGAAGCTTTATGCGGATCAAGTACTCTGCATGAGGTTATGGAAAATTAGGAGATAACAAATTAAAGAAGGAAAGGGCTTGGGGCACAAGAAAAAAAAAGAATTAGGACATTTCCAACCGTTACGTGTATATATATATATATATATATATATATATATATATATATATATATATATTTTTTTTTTTTTTTTTTACAAATCTAATGTGTCATAATAAATTTATACAAAAATTTTGAATTATTTATTTTTAATTTCAGTTGTTGTTTTATACCTTTTGTTTAAAAATATATCTCCCAATAACAACTAATCAGTGTCATGTTTGAACTCACATAATTTTTACAAACCTACTTAATATAGGGCTGATTCGTTAATGGAATGAGAAAGAGGGAGGAGAAAAGAAATATATTGATGTTGCTATGTAAAAAAGTTGTGTAAAATACACAACAATTTTACACATTGGTGACTTGACAATGTATCTTAACAGACTGCTGGAGATAAAAAATAAAAAAATAAAAAATAAAAAAAAATTATACAACATACATGGCAGTATAGATTTTATACAAAAAAATATTTTAACAAACTAGTTGATATACTCTTATAATGGCTCGGAATTATTGATATATGAAAAAAGGCAAACTATAATGACCTCCCTTAAGGTTTGGCATAATTGCAACTAAATCTGAGGTTTGCCAAATTTTTGCAAAGACCTCCCTATGTTAGAATTTGGTATAAATTTACTTATTTACCCTCATTATTATATTATTAAAAATGTCAAAATATTTGAGTATATCAAATGACTCTTTTACCCCCAATAATTGTTATACTTAATCAATATATATATATATATATATATATATATATATATATATATATATACACACACATATATATATATACAAACACTTACTCCGTATATAATAAGGGGATACAAACACACTTGCAACAACACCACAGCCCTGCAAATCAAACTCAAACTTGGCAACGATGACTGCCATCGAGACGAATCCCAACCAGAATCGGACTCAAACCATGGCGCCGGAAATTGACCACGACCCACAACCTGCCGGATTTTGACACCCACTTCACCGGAGGAAAAGAAGATGACAACCACACCCACAGTCGACGGCGCAGCAACCCACAACCAAAGAAGAACACAATTTTAATACCGAACCCGTAAGCAATACAAAACAGCGACCAACAAACCGTAGTTGGAGAAGAATGCTACCCGTGACGCTCGACAAACCCAATCAACTGTGGCCGGAGAAGAATCCCGAACATGGTATCGCACCCCGTCGCTGGAATTAGACACCCACTGTACCGCGAAAGAGAAGAACAGAAAGGTGAGGGACGCTGATTGAATTGGACACCCATTGTACCGGTGGTATGAGCTTATTTTCTGGTGATGGTGATTGGTGAAGATACTGGAGCCAACGACGGAGACGAAGTCAAACCAGATCATTTTCAAAATTATGGTTGTGATTAGCTTCAATCTATAGATTGTTGGGCAAAAGGAATTAGGGTTTGAAATTCAAAGTACTGCAAAAACAAAGTAAGAAATTGAAAAAAAAAATGGTAGAGAAAGATATCATTACATACAAAGCCAAACCCAGAAAATAAACCACCAAAAGAATATATGCAAATCAACAAAATATCATGGTGATGGCGGCAGCAAAGGGTGGAAAATGAGGTGGAGAGGAGAGAGATGGTGGTTGTGACGGTGGTGGGTGGAGAAGATGAGGTAGAGATGAGAGAAATGGCGGTGACAGTGGGTGGAGAAGAGAGAGAATACAGATGAATTTGTAACCATATATGTATTATATATATGTGTGTGCGTGTGTGTGTGTATGCGTGTGTGTGTGTGAATTTTGCACACAAAATACATTATTTGATTTGGGTGTTACATATGGATTTAGCAGAAGTAATGGTGGCAGTGAAGTGGTGAATGTGGGCTAGAGAGAGATACAATGGTGAGTATATGGTTTAAAGGTAGTTTGGTCCATTTAACATGAATTTTATTGTCATTTGTTTAGATTACAAGGGTAATAGCGTCTTTTTACATTGTTTATGGGTATTTTAGTCACTTCAAACTAATTTTCTAATAAAAAATATTATTTTTTGTACGAAGAGGAGGTTATTGTAAAATAGAGAAAACCTCAGGGGGTCACACTACAACAAAATGGCAAACCTCAGATTTAGTTGCAATTAGTCCAAACCTCAAGGGAGGTCATTGTAGTTTGCCCTATGAAAAAATTATCCTCTAAGCATTTTTGTTTCACAGTTTATTTATTTTTTGCTTTCAGTGTTTTGCATTGATTTTGTTGACCACTATTATTAGTATGCAAGTTTTTGCAGCTATAATATGTTTACTCCATTATTTTTGGCCCAATGGAAAGGCGACATGTGGCGAGTTCCAATGAGCTTGCAACACTGGATTGATGCTTTAAATGTCCAAAAGAGGAAAGCATAATATGGAATTGCTGAAGTTTGATCTTGTGTTATCCACCAATAGGGAAAAAGTATGTGGCGAGTTCCAATGGAACTTACCACACTGGATCGCAACTCTTATGAATTGTTATTGGAAGCTATGTAGTATTACAAGTGGGCCAATATAGTCTTGCTATATGGGTTTTTTTTCTATTAAAAGAAAAGAGGCAAGTCGTAATTCTTTAAAAGCAAGGGCCCACATCTTCCTATATGGAATGAATTTTACCACACATAGCGAGTTCCACTGAGCTTACCATAGTTCTAACCATGGTATATCAATTCCTTTAAAAAGTTATTATCATGTTTTCAATAAAACAAAGACTTACCAAAGGTGGTAAGACCAAAGTTGACCTAACCAAAGAAGGAGAACGTGTGGTTGATTTTCTCCTTACTTTTAGGAGGCTTTAACGATTGTTTAGCCAAGTCAAACAATGTTGCTAAAATTAAAGAGACGTGATTGTCCAATATGGAGGATAATATATCTATTCATGTAAGAAATAACCCACGATAGAAGCTAAAATCAAGGAAGTGTGCTATAACCACAACCCACGATGTAAAGTTAGTGAAAGAATGGAAAATAACCACAATGCCATGAAATTAATATGGAAAGTTCAGCCTAAAATCAAGGAGGCGTGGTCTATGGAAGAAAAGGGTATGGAATGATTTGTATCCACATATATATATATATATATATATATATATATGTATGTATATATATATGTATGTATATATTTATGCCAGATATAGTCCATGATGAAAAAGATGCTGAAATTCAGGAGGCCACGATGTTATAGAAGATTCAGGTAGGAAAGTTCAGTCAAATAAGAGAAACGTGGGTTTGTAATAATTCCTATATACATGCATGT